CCATTAGTGCTACAACTAATAGTATTATTAATACTAGTACTATTAATACAGTTGCATCATGGCTGTACCATGTATGAAGCAGCAGCATTATTACAGCCTGTCTAAAATCCACTGCTGAACGCAGGTCTCCTTCATAGATTACATCATAAGGGGGACTCTGCCATAGCTGCCACGCTTGGTTGACCGATCAGCGACCGCAGTTTTGATTATTTTGAGTTATTTTATATATTATCAGTAAGACACTGCTGCTCCTCTCCTGTATCATTTGCCTTTATCGCCTCTTACAACACCCACAGGATAATATGGGGTATTTGATGTCTGTGTGTGATGTGTGAAAGGTTGGTCATGCATGTGTGTCGTAAGGCAAGCCGAAACCATTGACTACATCGTATGAAAGATCGTGACTGTTGTATCTAGAAAGTAACGACCAAGAATATAATAGAATATAAAGAAAATATAATTGAAATATAATATAATATACATAACGCCGACGGGGAACATTGTCAAATACGCGAAACGTTTGGCCAAATCCTCCAAAAAATGCCTTTGAATTACAACAAATCTTTGCAACTGTGGGAGAGGTATGTGAAATGTGAATAATGAACACTATGAAATGTTAAGGGAAAGAGAGAGTTGGCCAATTTTAATATTAACTACTATTATAGATACCGCTATTATACTCAATACTTACAGGTACACTAATTCCTTTTTATTATCCAAACTTATAAGTTTGGATAATACATTAGCTTATACATTATTAGCGTAACTGTTACCTTACATATTTGAATTCTGTTAACGTATTATGTAGGCACGAATGCGATTCAAAGAGAAATCGTACGCATTTCAAGAAAAAACATAAGTACTATGCATACTTCGTATGCGAATACAACCGAAGCGTTGTACTTTTTTTACTTTTAAGAAATATTGCCAGTTGTAGTGCTTTCTTTTGTACAATATTGACAGACCAGATATAGAAGGCGGTACACTTATATTTTGGATACACATAAATTCCTCCATGAAGAATCAAAAATACAGGCGTCGTACGCCTACCCAAAAACAGAGGCTGCTGTTGCCTCTTTTTATATATACTCGTATATAGGAGAGGGGGCAAACGAGCATACAGCTCACCTGATGGTAAGTGACTACCACCGCCATGAACAACTGCAACACCAGGGGAATTGCAGGTGCATTGCCGGCATTTTAGAAAGGAGTAAGCTCTTTTCTTGGAGGTCTCTAAGTCGTATAGGTCCGGAGAAATCGCCAGTGGTAAAATATTCCACAGAGAGGTCGTACGCCGAAGAAAACTAGTGAAACGTACAGTGGTGGACCGCCAAGTATCCAGATGGTGTGTATGGTATCGGGAGTTTTGCCGTGATGTGCTTCGTGAAATTTGGCGGCTGGGATTAATCCGAACAATTCCTCAGAACACTCCCCATGGTAAATGCGAAAGAAAATGCAAAGGAATGCAACATCTCTTCGCAGCGCCAGTGAATCGAGCCGATCGGAAAGGACTCGGTCGTTGACGATTCGAGCCGCTCTTCGCTGGATGCAGTCAAGTGGAAGAAGCTGGCACTACGGAGCCCCAGCCCAGAGATGGGAACAGTATTAAATGTGTGGCCGAACGTGCGCCTTGTAAAGTTGCAGGCGGTGTGCCGGCATGAAATACTGTCCCGCTCTGCTGAGCACGCCAAGCTTTTTAGAGGCCAATTTGGCCTTCTCTTCCAAGTGATCACGAAACTGCACGTCACTTGATATGTCGACGCCAAGGACGCCTTAAAACTGAGGAGATACGACAAAGGGGTTCTTTTTAGCGGTAAACGTACAAACTTGTGCCTCTTGTCTGACTGCAATCCACAGTATCGACACGATACGCTAGCGTAATGACTTTGTGACGGAGACGTCACTGCTGGTTCTTAGCCCATTTTTAACAGACTTCAAAAAGGAGGAGGTTCTCAATTCGAGTGTATGTATTTTTGTATGTATGTTACGCGATATCTTCACAGATTGTGAACGGATTTTAGTGATTCTTTTTTTATTAAATAGATTTTTTACCTCAAGGGTGGTCCCATTAAGTTTTGAAGAAAAATTCCGTCCCCAATGGTGGAAAATAGGGAATAGCTTCATATAGGGCTATTGTTTTAGGAATTTCATATCATATCTTCGCAGATTGAAACCGATTTAAATGATTATTTTTTTTATTAAATAGGCTATACTTTAAGGCTGGTCCCATATAAATTTACACAAAAAATTCCACCTCTAAAGGTAGCAGATATATAACTTCGTTTTTAGCAATTTGAAGTCGGTTTTTACTTTTTGTTAAAAGTTATAATTATTACTCTTTACTTACCTCACGACACCCTGACGACTGAAATATCGCCTATAATTGATATATAAAAAAATTCATCTCTTATTTTTCAAAACCTAGGATAAAAGTTCAGTAAATTTGTATAAGATCAATCTAAAATTATAAAAGAATAGTCAATATAATCGCGTAATCTAACCACATAAAATACAGTCAAACTCAGAACCTTCTTCTTTTTTGAAGTCGGGTCATATTAAAAATTCGTTAATAATTTTTCACAGATTTCATACTTTATAGTACCTACGATTCTAAAATCATTATAAAATGTCTATAGTAAACACCTAATATTATCGTCATAACGAGCTTTATGCTCAACGAGATGCAATTATTTATATCGGAAAATATAAAATAATTAATATTCTTTATTACAATTACTTTATTGAAATCACATCTATTATTTAATTTGTTAAAAATGTAATAAAATAGTTATTTATTGACTATACATAACGTATCTTCTACACATTACATATACTCGTAATATTTTTATTACTCATTATGACAGAAACACAGAAAGAACATTTTGTCTTGTATCTCAATGGCAGCTTATATACATAAATTCACAAGGACAAAGATCCACTCCCGGGATAGGCCTAATAAATACTCGTTCCGTGCGGGATTCGAACCCGCAGAACTCAGCGCTGTAATTCATTGCTAAGCCACTGCGTTAAAATCATCAATCATCACATCATAATCATCATTGAAATTACAGCCCATTAGTAATTCACAGCTGAACATACACCTTCCTCAAAGACTGCCACAAAGCACTATCCTGGAGTTACCTGCATTAATCGTGCATCCATCATACCTGCCAGCAGTGAAGGACAAACTCTCGGACCGAGTTTTCATTGGCTATGTTATAAGTGAGTTAAGTACATCATTATTATCAGGCCGTTAATATCACAGGCGATGTTTTCTTAATTTCACGTAATCTGAACTTTTGAAAAATTCAGATTCAAATTTAAAACTTTAAAAAGAATTAAGTAAACTAGAAAAGTATTAAAGATTGCTGGAGCTACCAAGTTAAAAAGTAAATAGGATATATATAGTGCATATTAATGTATATTTTTCATATAATAATAATTTAATGTCCTACCTAAACCGAATCTGGGGACGGCGACCAGTCTTCAATCTGAACGATGACTAACCATTTGGACAGGATAGGATCGCATTCACACGTACACTCTCTATTCCCTCACATTCAGTCCGATGAGAATGCAATCGAATGCCACGAGGAGAGAAATCAAGCGCAGGACAGGAAAACACGGCTTTACATGATTTTTAAGGAACGGAGGAGAAACACCTCCAACTTCCTGACTCTGGATTGGTACTGTGAGCTTTGATAGAAAAACCCAAACCTGGCCCGACCCGGTTTCGAACCCGTCACCACACGATCAGCAGTCGTACTTGCGGCCACTAAACCACGAGGTAGTCATTCAGTCAGATATTTTACATATTATTACGGGAAGACTGTGACATATTAGAAAAGGTACTTGACTAACGCCCAGCGCGTCCTACTTTTGAACTCTGTCCATTCACGTCCCGCTAATAATGTTCGTCGTGGTAGACAGAATATACAAAACAAAGATCGTGTATAACATCCATGTCACACCTGTGCCGGTAGTTGTTGGGAGCACTAAGCTCAAAGTTGTTGACGAGTATGTTTACCTGGGATAAATAGTCCGACTAGGTAAGTTCAACTTCGACCGAGAAGTCAATCGACGAATTCAACTCGGCTGGGCAGCGTTCGGGAAATTACGGCACATCTTCTCGTCAGGTATACCTCAAAAGTTGAAAACGAGACTGTACAACCAGTGCGTATTGCCAGTAATGACCGATGATACTGAGACGTGGTCCTTCACTACTAGCCGTATGCTCGGGGTTTCTTTGCGTGATAAACTTAGAAATGAGGATATCCGCTGTAGAACCAGAGTAACCGACATAGCCCAACGATTAGTAAGCTGAAGTGGCAATGGGCTGGCCATATAGCTCGAAGAACCGACAACCGATGGGGAAAAAAGGTTCTCGAGTGGCGGTCTCGTATCGGCGGACGAAATGTAGGGCGTCCCCCCACTATGTGGAATGATGACCTGGTAAGACATGCAGGAAGTCGATGGATGCAGGTGGCTCAGGACCGTGCTTTGTGGTATTCCTTGAGGGAGGTCTATGTCCAGCTGTGGACTGGTGAAGGGCTGTAATGATGATGATGATGACACAGAATGTTTACATTTTCCCTTAACGCTTATCATACTGGAACTTAAGTTATTTTAATATTGAATAAAACTATGTTTCCGGATTTTATGGCTTTTAATTTACTTATTTTAATTCCCGACGTTTCAGGTGTTTTACAGCAACCCATGGTCACGGGGGGAAACGTCGGGAATTGAAATAAGTATAATAACAATATATAAGAGATAAAATCAGTAAAAATAATTTTATTCAATATGTAGTGTTCGCGTAAATAAAAGAAATCATTATTTCAATATTATTATTTGATTATTGTGGACCGAGTGCGTGTCTTAGTATAGACATTTGAGACTTTATTTATTCAGCGAAACTGGTAACTTCGACTATATATATTCTCTTACTTCTAAAAAATTGAGTCCAATATAAACGTACTTAAAAGCAGATATGTACTTACTTAGCCGTTTTTAAAAGAGGGTGATTGCTGCCAACTAATTTTCTCAAATGGAGGGCAACGTTCGCGATCTCATCGCTCAGCACCCATCGAAGGCTCAGAAATGATGTGGGGTAGCCAACAATCTTCTCAGCCTCGCTCACGGCTCGGTTCCAGTCGGGCTTCGTGTTCTGTTGTGTAACAACAGCATGTTGCGTGCTACTCGTGTACACTTCCCTTTCAGCACAAGGTCCCCGAAGTTTCGAAAGAAAAACGCTCGATGGGGAAACTTTCACCATATTGCACCTCGCGACATTTCTCAAACAGCTTAGGCTCATTTTTTTAAGTTTTATAAACTTTAATTTGTGCAATAAAAATGTACCTAATTTAAATTTGTAAGTAGCGAAAGTGAATGATATTTAATATTATAATATCCTAAAAACAAATTGTAAAACAAGCAACTGAAGACTATACTGGACGTAAATTTCTTGTTGCAGTACGTAGCGATTTATGTTACTTTTATGTTTTATAAATTGTTTCGTAAATATATTATTTCGAAAGTTTCGGTTCTACGTCCAACACACTCGCGCTTTGATCGTAGACTAAAAGTTGAATGAGAATGACTGATTGAAGTTGAATGTGAGAATGGTCATATTAGTTTTTTTAACTGGCTTTACGGCTCTGGGTTCTAGCCCTTCTGAAACTTGGTCATATCACTAACACCAAAGAGTAAGTAATCACTAAGTAACAACGTAACATCAAGACACTGACACAGCTGACACTGACAGATGACTGAGTAAAAGCCATAGATAACGACGTTAAACATTTTTTTTAATTGATGATATTGAATGACGAATATCGAATGAATCTTTATGAAGTCCTAAAGTAGTGAACACACTCATGATTCACTCATTTTAAAATTATGTTTTATTCATGAATCAAAGAGATAGACTTTCTATATGAAGTTTGAAGTTGTGAAGAAAATGAAAAAGAAATGAGTTTTGTAATTCATGCATATAATAAAACTGACAAAAGTACAACTCGGACTCTAAACAAAAAAAAATTCTTATTTGATTGATACAACAATCTTGTCTGACAATTTACACATTATAATCAATCTTAATTGATTTTAATTGATATTGGAATGCTGCTTAAAAACAGCTGCATTTAAAATTATTATTTTTTGGAAGGCACAAAAAATTTACCAAGTAAACTTAACATAATTCGTTCCTAAATGAGATAATTGTAGATAAAGTTCATCTCTGAATTACAGTCATTTGTTCATTCATCGCTAGTCCTGTTCTTAGCACAAACTAATAAGAAGTAGGTTCTTAACGTATTATCATACACATAGTCTTATCACAACCACAGAATACTTTCAGTCCCAGCGTAGCCAACAGTGTCAATGTGCAGTTCGTATCCAATGTAAGGCAGCCGCGTCGTCCATCGGCCAACTTTCGGCCAATTTCAGTGTCTTCCATAGTCTGCCAGATTATACAGTGTACATTGAATGATCTTTTTATGACATACCTAGAACTGAATAACCTTCATTTTATCCACCAGTACGGATTTCGCCAACATTTGTCAACTGGGGATCTTCAAGGGTATGCCACTCACATATAAGACGACGATGTCTTCGAGAATCGAGAGAAAGCACTCTAGTCTGATCGATTGAGTGAAAGGCTTTTTAATGATTTGTTTCTCAAAAACATCCATCCAAATTATTCCAATCGGAATTAAATCTAGTCCAAAAGAGATACTTTAGTTGAGCGTGTGAATCTTTTCCTGCAGGCAGTTAGATACGCCTCTGAAACAAAAGCGTATGTCTTTACTGTAAAAAGCATCCATTCACCCTATTTCCAACTTTCCAGTATATGTCTTCCAAATCTTAACTTGGTGCAGTTAGTTAAGTCCAAACCCAAAGCGGCCGCAGTGAAACTAGGTATCCGTGCAAAGAAGCGGTGGTACTTCACTCTGTGACAGTTTCATTTCAGTTATATAAAGCGCAATTCCATTCGTGGATGGAATACTGCTGTCACATATTTCACCCTTGGAAAATCAGACTACCTCTTTGTTACCGGTCTATTTTGTAGTATAGAAAGGGAATGGAATCATTTGCAGGCGTCTATCTCAATCCGGTTAGCTTAAAAGCAAAAATGGTTTTAGTTACGCTTGCGCGATACCCAGGCGTTTATCACCGCTTACCACGAGTGAGATTGTAATCAAGCTCTGGCTTATAATACTTTAAAATAAGATTACTAAATTTCGTTGTGTAAGATTTTTATTTTAAGTTTTAGAAAAAATGTGATATTTTTGACCACTAGGGTACTAAGCTTCTTCAAAAATAATGTTTACTATACTGCTATGCTCAGTCCTCAATTCTTCATATTATTCAATCTCAATCTCAATCAACAACCATCATTCAGCATATCAGAATTCAGTCAAAGAGTAGAGTATGAGTTCAGTTTAGGCATGACTATTCATTCTAAAAACATAGAGCAACAAAAGCCACCGGTGAGCCGCAGGGGAAAAGCAATACGCAGGCGTTTCCCTCTATCAAAGTACAAGTTTACGCGGTCCTATGGGTACAATATATCTAGTGGCAGCCGCACTGCTCACATCATTAAACCTAGTTTCGCGACTGAATCGATTTCCGACAAAAATGCCGAATTGTTCAATTGTTTTACTATCATAGAGATAAAAAGAGATGGCTACGTCAAATTTATAAAAAGATGGCGTTACCTGTCATATATTAGTAAGTTTTATTATATATTATTGCTATTTACTTCTTTTATAATTTAAAAATTGCAGTAATAACGGTCGTGTTGTTTCGGATTTGCTTACTAACACAGGCCCCTCACGTTCATTCAATATGCGAATCAGTGCAGCGACTTATCCAAGTCTGTATCCAAGTTGTCTTGTCACCAAAGGATAGTGTTTTGATGTATTTATGTATGTGTGAAATTCTTACATTGTTATTTTAATTGCTATATGTGAGTTTCGTAGTGACAGACAATTTTTTTGTGTGCGCAGATTTTCCCTCGCAAAAAATGACAAACAGTTCTGTATTGGAAAAAAACGGTGTGGCTACTCCCTTCTGGTCTACAGGTGACCCATGTTGCTCTATATCTAAAAAGCATCGATTTTCGATTTTATTTCAATCGAGCAAAATAGAATCGATTAGCAATAGAAACGATCTATTTATATAACATATGAATAGCAACTCTTTTCGTGTCTTTTATGTTTCAAAGAAATCAAAACATTTCCATAATGTGACATTGAACTATTTTGGGATAGTGCCAGTTTACTAAACCATGGCTATGATACTTAATGTTTCCTTTCCTTCCACTTACTTTTAATTACTAATCTTATACTCTATTAATTTTATTTAACATTTTATCACTACCCTCTTGAGTGCATATTTTCTCATACTACGCTTTTACATACATACATAAACACTCACGCCTGTCACCCAGAGGGGTAGGCAGAGATTATGGACTTCCATATGGCACGATCCTGACACACCTCTCTCGCTTCCTCCACATCCATATACCTACGCATACACGCTCGTCGGTTAAAGGTACTCTTGATTTGGCCCATTTTTAATATATCACGAATTTGGTCGATAAACTTAAAAAAATTAACTACTCTTTTGAAAACATAATAATTAAATAGATTGTCTACTGAGTGCAACATGGGTTTGTTACATACAAAATTACAAAACGATTAATTAGTCACCTATAATACGAAATAAGTTTGACTATGACCAAAGAGTATTTTTGATTTTAGAGTAATTTGATTTCTATAAGTTTTACTAATATTCACTAATATTTATAAAATTTTATTCTTGTATGAAACGGTATTGTTGGGTATTATATGCTCTTTATGTATGCTCCCATTATATAACAAAGTTATAAAAAGATGTATAAATGATAGACATTTGAATGATTATTGTATTTTTATTTTCGTTACTGATTTTATATACAAATCTACCGATTTTTGTGTCCTATCGATTTCTAGAGAATATGGTTTTCACCGAATACGAATATTCGGCCGAAAGGTTGGTAAAACTTTTACCGCACCCAATATTCGGCCGAACATTATTCGGCAGGATCACCTCGGTACCTAACCAATTCATATCAAAAGTTGTTTACTTAAAGCGCGCAGGATAGCGCTGGACCCCACCTCTAGCTACCCCGCCGCACCTGACATGTTATTGCATCATCTAGTACTGAGCAAATTGCCGGCACGTGCTTATGTTTTGACTGTTTTCAAAAAAGTATTTCGTTGTGTTATTATTTGTGAAAATTGATAATTATATGATAAAAATGAGTCGGAGGAGGAGATCTACTATTTGAACTTATTTTAGAGAAACTGACGACCAAAGTAAAGTGAAATGTACGATATGCGAAAAAATACTTTCGCGGGGAGGCAGCGGCAGGAAAGCTTCATCCTTGGCTATGAGCTCATTTAAAATTGAAACACTGAGGAATTTTCTGGTCTGGGAAAACCCGTGTATCAGGTAGGCTCAAATATAAAAAATATTGAAACGACACAGCATGAATCTGAAGTTGCACAGGTCACCCAACCCTCTACTAGAGGTGCTCAATCTACAAATTCTAAAACCTGTCCAACTACTCAAACTACACTAAAAGATTCGTTTACTTCCAAATCGCGAATCGACGACCCCAGATCACTTCCAATTACGAATTCAATCGCTGAAATGATAGCAATAGATAACCATCCAATTTCTATAGTCGAATATAAAGTATTTAATTGGCTCATGCAGTTGGTAAAGCCCAAATACCAAATACCGAGCTAAAAATATATAGGTGAAAAAGTAATTCAACAACTGTATGAAAAATTTAAAAGCACTATTCAAGGTGAGCTGTCTAAGGCCTAATGTTTACCAGCTACATCTGACATATGGACAAATGTGTTCGTATATATCAATACAGTGGACACTGAGTACCACTTTAACGAATGTTCGGTGATTTAGCAGAATATTCGGCCGAACACGAATATTCGGTAAAGTTACCCAATATGCCGAATACCGAATATGAAACGAATATTCGGCCCATCTCTACCGATTTCGCGTTTTGCCGTTCGAGTTCGAATTTCGATTTCGAGACCACGGTAGTGATTATATACTCTTTGTGACCATAACCACAGAGTACCATTGTATAAACCGTACTAGAATTTCATTCATATTCAAATCATTCCTGTATAGGACAGTTACTAATACTATACTCTTTGAATCAGTCAATCGCGCGTCACCGGTCTTTGTAGTCGACTACAAGAGGGTTACTACGAATCGCCGTCTATTTCCAGTGCTGCA